TTAAACGGAATTGAGGAGATATGTAACGATCTCGTGACAGAGAGGGGAAAAAAGAAAGGAAAAAGCGAATATAAAACTCGAACGAGAGACGAGGTCCAATAATCGATGAAAAATGGACGAGCACAAAGAATATGATATCAATCTGATAATTTTTAATTCTACGATTTGCTTACGAATGAATCCAAACAACACATCATTGAAACGTTTATTAACCGAATTTTCGTTCTTAAATTGAAACAACAAAAAAGATCCATAAGATCGATCTCCATCAGTTGGCACGATTCGAATCGTAACTATAAATCTTTTGATGTAATTCGATAACGACTTCCGCGATAAAACAAAAAAGAAATGAACAAGAAAACACTCGTAAACAATTCTAATTATAGAATTGGCGATAAGGGAATCGATCGGTAATTATTTATTATTTAGAAATTTTATTAAGAAAATTTATTAAGAAAATTGAAACCGAATTGGCCGATATAAAAAAATCAAGAAAAGAGAGAAATATTAAGGACGAATGACCTGCCGTCCGGTTGATGTAGAACTCGAATGCGGCCAATGGACCGTACGTGCTGGAGCATCGCGAATTTCGATAATCAACCGTGATATTCCACCCTGGTAACAGTCCTCTCGCAGAGCTAATTGCCTTAACTGCGAGTAGAACAGCTGGCAGTATCCGCGGCAAGCTTTGTTCGTGATGAAAATCGGCCGGCGCTATCACTGCCAGTTTCACCTCTGTTTTGAATGATAACCGTGTTTCAATACACTCGTTCGCGCGTTGTTCGATCACGATATTATTTACACTCGCAAACATCGTTGTCAGGAACAAAATCAACTGCACCGATAAATCGCTTCCGCGCTTTTGCATCTCGTTTCCGCTTTGATCGATCGCTCACGGACGACATTCGAATCCGATTACTTTCGTTCGTATCCGATCATTCCTCGACGAACGGTGTCTCTTTGAAACTTATTTTCGTCCATTTTTATTTTTTTCTGGCTGAAACGTTCCATATTCGCTTCTTATTAACCGTTTTAAAATCCTTATGTTGCAAGTATCGATAGTTACGATGATTTTCTGTCGTTACGTATCGAGAATCAATTAATCGATGATAATCGATACATAATCGCGAATCGAAATCTATCGATACGATGATACACTTTACTATGCGTAGTGCGATGATTGCGCGCGCATGAGAAATTCGACCGTATAATAGAAAAGTTTGCGCGCGAATCTTTAGCCATGATGAAACGAATTCTAATGAAAAATATATCCGATTAAAGAATTAAAATTTCCGCTTCTTTCTTCTTTCTTTCTCACGGACAAATACACAACACGCGTGTGCACGTGTACACACGATCTCTTCTGATTTTTCTTTCTTTTTATTTTTCCCGAATACGTGTCATGCATCGACATCACAATTAAAAACACACAGTGTGATTTCTTTCAAAGAGAAAGAAAATTTGCAGACGAGCGAGCTTGGACCCACGAATGAAACTGAGCTAATCTCCAAAGCCCTCCCGCTTTACTCTGAATCGCGCCTCCACCGATGCTGAACGATCGTTCTGTTTCTTTTTCTCTTTCACAGTTCTCCCTTTCTGTCCTTCTCTCATTTTCCGCTTCACCCCTCTGATGGAAACCACGCACCAAGGATAGAAGTCCACGCTACACCTTGCTGCGCCGATTCCATCGAAGATAGGTAGGAGAAGGTCAAGAACGCATGCGTCCTTGTCCCCTTCGTTCTCTCATTCTTTCATACGATATTAATGTTTCATATTTTACGAATTTTATTTTACAATCGTATCGTTATTATCATAATCGCTGCAAAATCTATTCTTTTTTGCAATCTATTCTTCTTTTTTGATTTGAATAAATAAGAATGAATATAACTTATCGACGAAAGAAAGAAAAATGATTTGCATTATCGACGAAAGGTATATCCCTTATCGACAGAAGCAACAAGATTATTAGGGCGAGTTATCGTTTAAATATAAAATTTAGAAACTCATGTATCATGATTAACTGGCAAACGGTGAAAAGAGAACATTGACTAGGATAAGAAAGATCGATCGAAGAAGCCTTGTAACACTTTGAATGGATATCAATCGCGTGTATGTTTTTTTTATGTTATTTGTTAAGAAAATGTTTAAATATAGATGTTGTGACGCGTATCCATCTCATATCGTACCGTAACAGAGCAATAATAGAAATACTATGTCTCACTGATGATAAGGTGTTGTGATAACACGCTCAGGAAACAATGTGATAACATTAACTTCGGTTATTGATACGAATAATGAAATCGATGATCGTAATTCTATTTTCCTCATTTTCTCGATTGAACGCGAAGAAAATATGAAAATGATGAGAAATGAAATCGCGATCGAACAAGCAATAGAACAATAACGACAAGATGTGTCGGTAAAAATGTCATTTGCGTTAATATGCAAAGTACAAAAGCGTTTTATCGTTAAATCACCATGACTCATTGTTATATGCAAGATATATCCGCTAAAATCGTTTCCTTTTAACGATGTTGATTCGTCGATTTAACAGCCCCGTTCAGTTACCATGATAAAAAGTATGCTCAAAGTCGAAGCGTCAAGATAAAAAGTGCGCGTTCAATTATGTTTTTATCTGGCTTACTGTGTAGGTATACACGGAAATGTGATATGCGTCTTTTCTCGTTGCATCTGTTTCTCGTACGATTTCGTCTAAAATCTACGTATCGCGTTTACTCACATGCATCGGAAAGATCAGAAGCAACGGTGAAATTTCGACAGAGATATATCTCGTATTGATACTCCAATGATCATTCGTGGAAACGCATTTGCATAAACGTTTACAATATTGGCCGATGATACGCGAAACTTGTCAAAAGATGATGTATGTTTCGATACATATGTTGATACTTAACAGCGACGGTTACACTCAGAGAGGTTAGAGTCAGAGACTCTCGTCAAGTCGGTAAAAAGAGAGAAAATGCTCGACTAACTTACCACCGTACCAATTGCCCACGTGATTTTGCAACGCCTCCGGATAATCTTTAGGGACGGTAGTTTCGACGTCGAACGTGCCGAACGTAAAGTTTGGCTGCTTCTTGATAAATTCTACCATGGACTTCATCATTAGCTGACAAGTATGTCTGCCGGCGAGCTGACTCTGTCCGTTAGTCGCGTAGACCAGATGCACCTTCCGCCACTCGTATCTGCGGTAACGTTACAAATTACCGAAGCTGAAGCTAACGCAAAAGCTTGTGAATCGGTTTCAAAGTGATTCTCTCTAACTGATAGCTCCCCAGCTGATTCTCCAGCTGATTCGCCAGCTAATTCTTCTCCCATTTACCGATTCATCAAAGCGATGAAGAAATTGGCGAGATCTCTGAAGGCCAAATTTCCAACTCGGGTTGTCATAAAGTACTCGTCCTTGCATTCTGTTTTCTTTTGCGTAAAATCGAAGGTAAATCCACCGGTAGTAATTAACGGTGCGCCGAAGAATTTTACCACTCTGCCAACGGCCGCTGAATTAAAAAAATCGTACTTCCTTTTGAACATATGAAACTGTTGATAGACCCGCGGTATACAATACTTACCTACGCAATAATCGCAAGCAGGGCCGAGGAACAAATGTACGCAATTCGAGAAGCTATCGATCGCGCCAATTTGGGCGTACGTTGCATCGCAATGATCGTCTTGCGAAAGAAACTTTAATTTCAACCAAGAAGGTAAAAGACCTCGTAATTTGGCTTCATAGACGGCCAAATCTATAAATTGAACCAATGACAAGTCTCTGAGACAATGAGTATTGTTGCTACTATTACTATGTTTATAAAAAATACTTTACTTATAAAAAAATATAACGACGATTCGAAGTTTTCGAGGAAAACTTACCGAGAACTGGAAGAACTTTCGGCAACGCTATATCAAAGCTTGGATCGGCTGGTAAGAGGAGAGCTACTCTCAATTCACAGGAAATGCCACCGTGACGATTTTTTTTACAAAGAGCTTCGCACTCACGAGCCAGTTGTACTTCACGACAAGTCATTTTCCCATTCACCGGACACGTTAGCCAGGCGATCGTCAATGCGATGATCCAATTGATACCCATGTATGTGTGTACGTTTCTCTATACGACTCTTCTTCCTTTATTCACGTTTCGTATACTTTTCTTTTTTTGAACGAGATCGTTGTACTATTCCGAACACTTGAACGAAAACGACGAAACCTCGTTCATCACTGTTTCGCTACTGGGCCGAATTATACGACCAACGATTCCCCTTTTCGAGTCCATCCTTTTCTTCGTGAATCTCCGCCCTCTAGTTTCTTTTTTCGATCGTTACGCCGTCGATCAGGATGAGCCAATTATCCGGACAACTCGACGATTCGAAGCATTTCAATCCTGAAGAAATCGCGATGCGATTTATTTTTCTAATTATTCACTCTCTAATTATTTTCAAACTTTTCCTGTTTAAATATTTCGAATAAGTGTCACGAATCTTTCCGCACTTATTATAAGATCATCGGAAATGATACGGTCCGATCCAAATTTCCAGTTTCATCGATCGAAGTAGAAACAATTGCTGCGAAAGTGAATTTGGCGGCTCGCGTTACTATTGCACCCTTTTGTTTCACTTTGTCGGTGAAGTGGCGCGAGACTTCGATCCGAGAATTCGAAACAAGTTCCTAAGAACGAAAAGAAAACTACTGACAATTCCGTTCGATGATCTTAAATCGCATTAGCCAGTCGCAAACACCCACTTCTCGTTCTCGCTCGTGTCGTGTTATCGCTGATTTTCTATCGCGTCGATTGATAATAGCTATCGAAAGCTATTCGCTCACCTCTTCTCACATTTTCTTCGACAACTTTGATTAATTACTTAATGTCATTCGTTTTAGGCGG